TCAAACTTTTGTATTGGCATGACGTCGGCCCTAATACCTGCAGCACACAGCTCTGTTCTGGGCGTTGGAGGGATAAATTGAGTGCAGACCCTTGGACGTGCTGCGCTGGCTCCTGCTCAATTCAGATAGAGGTGATCATGTTTCCGGGTGTATTAGGACATTGTCTGGGAACAGATGTGCCTTCTACCGTTTGGGCGGGGGAGATGCCAGCACCAGAAACTAACAGCTGACTCATTCTGTCGGCTGGAGACAAGCATGGGTGGATAGCAAAACCTATTTCTATGGAAAAGATTTCTTTTTTCAAGTTTCTCCAATATTAGCCACTTCCCTTGTTTAAGTGCACAAATAACACGGTAAACAATGAAGATGAATAGTGTATATTCTTTCAAGAACAGCAGCCTCAAGGGGGAGCTGAATTGGCTCTTGCATTTCCCCACTCATCCTTCCTTCTGAGGTGGACAGGATTTGAGGTTGTGGTGACAGCGTGGCTTCTTTAGGACTATTTTGCAAAGTCCCTGTCTCAGTGGTTTCCTGCTTTCTTAGTGGGTATCTCTCCCATGGTGTTTCAGTAACAAGAGTCCAGGAAAGTGTTCTTTCAGGCAGCCAGGAAGGAAGGACCAAGCCCCATAGACAGGTGTGATTTGCAGTCACACCACCACCACCCGGGCACCTTCTCCCTCCTCAGACATCAGGTGGCAGGTCCAGCCAGAGGTGGACATTACCCACAGGAAGTTCAAAGCCTGGGCCTCAGTCATTTTGGGGGATTGATTATCCTAGGCCTCAGTCATTTTGGGGGATTTGGCTTTTCAGGGGTCATGACTATGCTCTTCCAGCCATGCATTTCTTTTCCTATGATGGCGACACAGCTCGCTCAGTGGAGAAGAGAAACCAGTCTGGCTCTTCCGGACATCCCAGCAGGTTGATTGACAAGCAGCTGACTGTGTGCCCAGAATTGCCTTCGGAAGGATAAGGCCCTGCTATCCTTTCCAGTGTAGACTGAGATGGAAATCCAGGCACTGTCCTGGAGCATCGAAAAATCGGTTGCACAAATCTCATTTTTGCTAATAGTTCTGTAATGTTATTTTCCCTGTAATTTGTAGTGATACATTTTTCCATCATTGATTTATTGAAATATTTAACAGCATAATACAAATTAGAAAAACAATCCACAGTTGGGAAACAGAGTGGATACCTTACCAGCTGCCAAATTTTCTCTTCCCTACTCGTGATCACGGTGTAAATATTAGTACGGGATAAGTAGCCCAGTGAATTATAGCTGGAGTGGAGAATATGCTAATTTGGGAAAGGCAGAATTAAGCAGAATATGGGGACATTTTCTTCTGTTAATTCAGAAGAAAATTCTCCCGGTATGACATTTCCCCTCCCCCAACATTTTTGAGTGTAAATGGACTGCTAAATAAATCGTTCTGCGTTAAGATTCTGTATCAATATTTTAAAATGTTATTATAAAAAATGCACACAATTCCTGGAGCTATAACAGAGCGTTTAAAATAAAATGTGGCCTTTAGGTGATGGTAGAGGAAGGAAGAATAATTTTTTTTCCTCAGAAGCAGGAAAGCATTACAGAAACATTAATGCAAAAGACATTCAGAGAATCCACTCAAAGGTGTTCAGACCTTCTCAGAACAGTCTGAAGAAAGCTTTCACTTTTTTAGTCTCTTAATTTCAATGGCTTTAAGAAACATCCAGTTTATAGGAGTCTGTATTTAGTCTTTATTGTCTATTACAACATAAAATTGTCTATGGTTTTAGAGGAAAAATATAATTCATTCCATATTTAAAGCCCTTAAAATAGGGACTTGCTCATAGTAAGCAGTAAATAAAATAGTGGTGGTTATTATGTATTGAAAGCTGGCTTGTACTAGGCCCTGAGAAGAGCCATGGGATACAAAGAGGGATGAATGGGGGTTGCGGGGGGATGGGTGATTGGTTGATTGGAAGGAAGGAAGTGTGGGTGGGCAGATGGATGGGTAGGTAAATTAGTGAGTAGGTGGTGGGTGGGTGGGTGGATGGAAGGAAGGAAGTAAGGTTGGGTGGATGGATGGGTAGGTAGATGAGGGGGTGGGTGGATGAATGGATATATGGTTGGATAGATGGATGGGTGAATGGGTGGATGAATGCATGAATGGATGAGTGGATGGATGGATGGATGGATGGATGGATGGATGGATGGATGGTTGAGTGAATGGCTAGAGGGAAAGGAAGTGGATGGGAGGGGAGAGGAGGGAGGGAGGGGAGGAAAGGGAAGGGAGTTATGTGGATAAATGGAAGGAAGGAAGGATGGAGGGAGGGAGAGAAGGAAGGAAGAATGGATGGGTAATGGATGGATGGATGGATAGATGGATGGTTACATGGGTAGATGGATCATGGAAGGATGGATGATAGATGATAGCTGGAGGGATGGGAGGAAGAATGGAATGGGTAGATGGTTACATGGATGGGTGGATGAATAGATGGGTGAAGATGGATGGATGATGGATGGATGGTTGGTTGGATACATGGATGGATGGATGATGCTAAGCCTTATGGTGTGAGCTGGCAAGTAAAGGTGCTGATGTGCTTTAGAAGCCCATTGGCAGAAGCAACCATTCCTTCCTGGAACGTGGGGTGGGGTCAAGGCTGGCCTCAAAAAGATGAGTCTGAAGGGGCAAAAGGACTCTTGATTTTCCTCCATCCCCTGTCCACAGGCTATGGATAACTCACTGAGAACAGCAGTCTCATCTGATTCCCTGATGGATAGCACAGGGCCTGACCAAAGAGTGGACAGCATTTGTGGTTGAAAAAGGGAGTGAGGCAGGGGAAGAGGGGCAACAGGTTCTCCAGGGCAAGAGAAGGCCTGCACAGAGTAAAGGCACAAGTCTTCCCTGATCATTCTGACACCAAACACATACGACAATATAAACCACATACAGCCAGCATAAACTACATACAACCAGCATTCTGTGTGTGAGCCTCAGCATCCCAGGAGGAAGAAGAGAAGCTTAGCTTTTGGCTTGCCTTTCTGATATTACTAGTGGTGAGAAATGGCTGTAAATGAGAATATTTAGAAATAGCAGCCAGACATAGTGGCTCATGCCTATAATTCCAGCACTTTGGGAGGCTGAGGTGGGCAGATGGCTTGAGCCTGGAACTTCAAGCCCAGCCTGGGCAACATAAGGAGACTCTGTCACTGAAAAAAAAAAAAAAAAAAAAAAATTGACAACTTAGCCATGCATGGTGGTAGATACCTGTAGTTTCAGCTATTCAGGCTGAGGCAAACTATTGAGCCCAGTAGTTTGAGGCTGCGGTGAGCTATGATTGTACCACTGCACTCCAGCAAGGCCCTGTATCAAAAAAAAAAAGGAAAAGAGGAAGAGGGGAAGAAACAAGAAAGAGCGAGAGAGAAAGCAAGCACAGAGGGAGGCAGGGAGGGAAGATCAATATTGTACTACCTTTCTGCCAGTACAGAGATTTCTACCTTTAAAATCTCATTCATATCTATTCCTCATTAACCTGTGACTATAAGGACATAGTTGGTGCAAAGTCTAAATCCTCTGCAAATACAGACCGATGCAATAGCAATTTTCTTCCTGTTTACTATGGGGCTAATCCATCTGAGCACACCTGGTGATTCCAGGTGTGTGATAAGGTTGGTTTCCAGAGCAGTCTCCGTGCTCATGAGGCAGTCAGCACGGGTGCACACATATTCAAATGGGTTTTCCCTCACCAGATTTCCTGCTTTTGTGCCTATAAAAGCAAATACAATTCATGAAGGATTGCTACTTCAAATGAACATTTTGGGCTCTGAGTCCACTTTTTTACCAAACAGCCTTCTTAGAAGTGAATTTATATTTTATTTGACAAACACATGTGCAGCACTTGCTATGTGTGAGGCGCTGTTCTGAATACTTTATAAAGATTAACTTATTTAATACTAGAAGCAAATCTATGATGAAGATGCCTTTGTTATCACCATTCTACAGACAAGGCTCAGAGAAGTTCCAATTTTTGTGTAAAGTCACACAGCTAATTGAATTGATGAGGCCAGACTTTGCAAAGAGGCTGTCTGGCCCCAGGCTCCAGCAGTCCTTTCACCCTGATGCTATAGTGCCATAGACTCACTTTCTTTCTTTCTTTCCTTCTTTCTTTCTTTTTCTTTCTTTCTTTCCATTTCTTTCTTTCTCTTTCTTTCTTTCTTTTTTGTCATAATGTAAAGTCATAAAAATTGCAAAGTTCTTTTTTTGTTTGTTTTTTGAGATAGGGTCTCACTCTCTTGCCCAGGCTGGCCTGCAGTGGCACAATCTCAGCTCACTGCAAGCTCAGCCTCCCAGGTTCAAGCAGTCCTCCTGCTTCAGCCTCCTGAGTAACTGGGACCACAGTTGCAAGCCACCATGCCTGGTTAATTATCTATATTTTTTGTATAGACAGTGTCTCCCTATGTTGCCCAGGCTCAAGCACTCCTGTAACCTCAGCCTCCCAAAGTATTGGGATTACAGGCATGAGCCACTGTGCCCGGCTCATCAGTTTTTTAATCACAAATTTCACTGATCACATTTTTTTTTTTTTTTTGCTCTGTGGCTAGAGAGATGCCTCAAAACCCATCTCATATGCTTCTAATGTTCTGTGTCAGTTTTCTGGCTTTAATTTCAAGTTTGTTAATGTTTTCCTATCTATGAGGTTTGTAATAAATCATACATGTATATATTTACTGCAGTAAGATATGCATAACCTGACATCTCCCACTGTGACCATTTCACGTGTACAGTTCAGTGGCAATGAGCAGACTGACATTGTTCTGCAGCCATCCCACCATTTGTCCCCAGAGTGCTCTTCAACTTGCAAAACTGAAACTCCATCCCCATTCAGCAGTCACTTTGAATCCAGTACTCCCAGTGCCTCACTGGGGCTGCCTCGAGCTGACCCACTGGGCAGGTGCATGGGGCTTGCACCCGGGAGCTCGCACTTCTAACCTCTGCCCTTGCCTCCCTATCCTCTTACAGATGAAGGCTTATGGGACATGTTTGTGAAGGACATCCCGCGGAGTGCCACATCCTACACCCTCAGCCTGGATAAGCTCCGGCAAGGAGTGACTTACGAGTTCCGGGTGGTGGCTGTGAATGAGGCAGGCTACGGGGAGCCCAGCAGCCCCTCCATGGCCGTATCAGGTAGGCCCTTCCAGGGAGGTCTCTCTTCTTCTGAAGGACGGGAAGGAGAAATGGAGTCAAGGGGGATGAAAGGGACCCCTGCACCTGCTGCTTTAGGTGTCTCCAGCTTAGTTGAGGGTTCTGCCCAAAGAACCTGACAGTAGGGAGAGCATTGTCAGTCTCTGGGCACCTCCCCAGTGCCACCCATCCTCCTAGGTACCTCCCCGGTGCCACCCATTCTCCTGGGCAGCTCCCCAGTGCCACCCATCCTCCTGGGCAGTTTTCTAGTGCCACCCATCCTCCTGGGCAGCTCTCTGCCTCCCTCTGGCAGGACTCCAGGCCCCAGAGCCTCCCCTACCCCCACCAGCAAGGCCCCTTCTGGGCTCTGTGTCCACGCTGTGCTCCAGCAATTCCTCATGTGTTTCATCATAGGCTTTAAAATCAGAGACGCATGCAAGTGTCAGAGGCATGAGCCTGAGCCACACTGTCCCCTCTGTGTGGCTCAGGCATTCCCAGGCAAAGCAGAGCCCCGAGCCCCTGTGTTAGCTGATGCATCCTTGCGGGGGAGCACATGTGAAATTTGGAGGGGCAAGAACCACCCCAGCAGCAATGGGGGAGCCCAAAAGTACCTAACAAGAGGTCATGCCTTCCTGGGGCCTACCTGAGAGCCAGTGAAGGGGCCGGGGACAATAGCTGCTCTGGGCATGAGGCGAGCAGTGTCACCGTCCCTGAGATGCAGGGGGATGTACTGCTGCTGCCAGGCTGGGCATTTCTCTGCTTGCTCATCACTGTGAGGTGCTGCAGGCTCCAGAGGCCACTGTGGGTGCAGGTCTGCTCTGGGGGGAAGCGGCAGAGAAAGCCAGGGCAAGGCTTCCTCCCCTGGAGCACAGGTGTTAGGTGATGGACGTGTCTGCAGTCAGCAGCCATGGCAGGGGTTATGACACACAGGGCAGGGGCAGTGACGTCACTTGAGAATCAGGAAGGTGCCCAAAGCCTCCCACAGGGGAAGGAAAACCTGCAAGAGGCAAAGCATGACGGAGAAAAAGTCCTGGACACTGAAGAGCCATGGTGAGGGATCGGGGCAAGGAGGGGTGGTAAGCTGGTCCCTGGTCATGCCTCACCCCCAATCCCCCATGTGCCTGGGAGGGTCTCAAACCAGGCTGCAATTTAGGGTTACTTGAGAAGGTTAAATACACACCCTCACTGGGCCCTCACCCCAGACAGTGACTTCCGTGGCTCCGGGCATGACTTTCTTCACCCTGCAGTGATTCTGTTGTGCAGACCAGCTGCAAGTCAGGATGCTGGGGGTTAAGAGAGGGTTGGGCTGTGTTTGAGGAGAGGGGCTCTCAGCAGCACAAAGGGCAGGGGGACCTTGAGGTCAGGGTGGCAGAGCCTCAGCCAGAAGCCCCAGGCAGGCCCAGCTCCATTGGTCCTTTTCCTGGAATCATGAAGAAGCTGCTCCTCTCTTCTGCGTTAGAGCTGCCTGAGCTACTGACCACACTTGTTGAAATGGAACATAGCCTTCAGCCTTAGTGTGCTATGGGTTTGGAGGAAGGATGCCTGTGGGTGAGCGTGGGCCTTAAGTCCGATACCCTGGCCTGGGAACATGCTTGAATTCTGGGGTCACTCTGTAAGAGGGGCTGTGAGAAGGGACCCAGAGGACCACCTGATTTTTTTTTTTTTTTTTTTTTTTGGAGTCTCACTCCGTTACCCAGGATGGAGTGCAATGGCGTGATCTCAGCTCACTGCAACCTCTGCCTCCTGGGTTCAAGTGATTTCTCCTGCCTCAGCTCCCAAGCAGCTGGATTACAATCATTTGCCACCATACCCGACTTATTTTTGTATTTTTAGTAGAGATGGGGTTTCACCATGTTTGCCAGGCTGGTCTCAAACTCCTGACCTCAAATGATCTGTCCACCTCAGCCTCCCAAAGTCCTGGGATTATAGGAGTGAGTCACCACACCCGGCTGACCACTGACTTTTTAACGAATAAGATTTAGAAAAAGTACGGATTTCTCATTTTCCTAATTTTAATTATGAATGTTTTAAACATACCTTGAAGTAGAGAGAATAAGGAACCCCTAGCACCCCTCATCCTAATTCAGTGATTCAAGATTTGCTGCATGAGATTTATCCGTGGAAAACTGATACGGAGCAATTCCACATGCACAACAAAGCAAGTTCCTCATGCAGAACACACACCCTGGCCCCACTTCCTGGGGCCTGTGGCTCAGGCGTCTCTGAAACTCTGTCGCGCACAGAGCTGGCTTTGCTGTGACTGCACTGAGCTCATCACATCCTTCAGGGAAGCCGGCAGCCATCACCTGCTGGCATCAGGACCAGGCCAGACCTGGCAGCCAGGGTGTCCCACCTGACGTAAGAGTCTTCCAGAACAGCCAGCCTTTCTTTCCTGCCAGGTGCTAGGGCCAGGCCCACTCCGGGCCTCTTGGCTGGTGGTCAGTGTGGCATCTGTCAGACTTGCTGTATGGAGTACTGAGTGCATGGCCTGCAATCCCACTCTGTCTTTTGGATTGAAAGCACCATCATCTCCTAAGGATCCCTGTGAATGTGCATTGGCCAAAGCCGATCTCTTGCTTTTCTTCCCAGTGTGCATACATTCTCTTTTATGAGATATAGAAGCTTCTGGGTGGCTATGTTTGGAAGGGTTCTGGTGGCTGGGGGCAATGCTTGGGCTTTGCCTGTGAGAGGCTTTGTGTTCTGGGGGACTTCCAGTGCTACAGAACCCATTCCCCCGCAGAGGCCCATGGAAGGCCCTGAATGGGATGCCAGGGCTACCCAGCACCCCAAGAAACAATTTTCCATTTTTCTGTTCTTAGCAAGCAGAACAAGACAGAAGGAAGAAGAGTGTCCTTCAAAGCCTCCTTTAAATGCATTTTTTTCTATTCATTTCTCAAAAACACATCTAAAGATGCGGCTAGTCATTCAGCTCGTGTTTTTTGCTAGAGGCAGAAAATATAATAAAACATGGCCCCAGACTTTAGGGGTTCCTGGTCTGTGGAGGGGCCAACAGTTGGAGAAATACACACAATGCTTGTTTGCGTGGGGGGCTTCTACACACGTGCAGGTGGCAGGGCAGGTCCTCGGGGGCCTTGTGGGCTCAGGGTTTAACCCCGTGGCTGACGGGAACCACTGAAGGATTTTAGGTGGTGGGAAGACTTATTTCTGAGGAAGATCTCTCTTGGGTGATGTAAAGGATGGATCTGAGTGAGACAGGAGGAGGCATAACAGGTGGAAAGTGAGTGCTGTGGCACAGGTGGGAGGTGGTGACAGAGAAGGCAGGGGACGTGAAGCTGTCTCAGGGGATGTCCCAGTACCAGGAGAGAGAAGGAAGTCTGGGCACTTTGTTCCATCCTCACTTGAACCCAGACAACGTTTTTGTTTGCTAGCTTGCTTATGTTGTAGACATAAGACAGGGTCTTGCTCTGTCACCCAGGCTGGAGAGCAGTGGTGTGATCATGGCTTACTACAGCCTCAACCTCCTGGGCTCAAGCGATCCTCCCACTTCGGCCTCCTGAGTAGCCAGGACTACAGGTGCCCCAGCACACCTGGCTAATACTTTAAATGTCTTGTAGAGAAAGGGGTCTTGCTCTGTTGCCCAGGCTGGTCTTGAACTCCTGGGCTTAAGCAGTCCTCCCACATCAGCGTTCCATAGTGCTGGGACTTCAGGCACACACCACTGTGCCTGGCTGTGTGTGTGTGTGTGTGTGTGTGTGTGTGTGTGTGTGTGTCTGTTTTTTGTTTTTGTTTCTGTTTTTTTTTTTTAGAGATGGGATCTTGCTACATTGCGCCAGATCAGACAGTGTTTTTAAACAGACAAAATTAGGAGAAAGCAAGCAGGAAGGGTGGTTTTGGTGGGCAAGGTCAGGGCAAGGGCAAAGATGAGAAGTCTCCAGGGCATGGGGCAGCTTGGGGGACAGAGGAGCCTGGAGCCTGATTCCACAGAAAAGGTAGAAAATGGGGACTGCTGAATTCCCAAAGCCTGCTGAGGACCCATGGGAACCTCCTAAGCTCATCCCATGGGAAAAGTCCACCCACCGGGCTGGACAGTGGTTTCATCTCACCTGTAACCAGGAGTTATCCGTCCCAGCCTTCCTTGCCACCCACCTGGCTCTCAGGAGGTGACTGCACCTGGATCATCTTCCCCACATCACTGTGTATCTGTGTCTTTTCCGCTCCGCAGCTCAAGTGGAAGCCCCGTTCTACGAGGAGTGGTGGTTCCTCCTGGTGATGGCTCTGTCCAGCCTGATCGTCATCCTGCTGGTGGTGTTTGCCCTCGTCCTGCACGGGCAGAATAAAAAGTACAAGAACTGCAGCACAGGTGTAGTGTCGGCCCCTTCCTCCCCTTCCTCCTGTGTCCCACTGTGCCACTTGGCCAGAACGTGACATTCATTCTTCTCTGGTGCATCTGCCAGGCCAGCATCCACTTTTCCATTTCATTTGCCTGTAGGTGCTGAGAGAGATGCAATAGCTTTTCTTTCTGGGGAGAGCCAGGTACAGCCCAGCAAGCCCTTGAGGCCTCAGTACCCAGATGCTGACCCTGCCTGCACTCAGATTAGCCATGTGTCTTGAATAAGGGCATTTGAGTCATCCAGCCTCAGAGATCCCCGCTCTGTACCTTTACTCAAATGCAATTGCTTTTTTTTTTTTAGACAGAGTCTCAGTCTGTCACCCAGGTTGGAGTGCAGTTGCACAATTTTGGCTCACTGTAACCACCTCCTGGATTCAAGCAATTCTCCTGCCTCAGCCTCCTGAGTAACTTGGATTACAGGCACCTGCCACCATGCCCAGCTAATTTTCTTGTATTTTTAGTAGATACAGTGTTTCACCGTGTTGGCCAGGCTAGTCTCGAATTCCTGACCTCAGGTGATCCACCTGCCTTGGCCTCCCAAAGTGCAGGGATTATAGATGTGAGCCACCATGCCCAGCCTAATCACATTTTACAATACAATTAGAAAGTATGAGATGTGGCTGGGCATGGTGGCTTATGCCTGTAATCCTTAGGGAGGATGTAGCACGTTGGGAGGCTGAGGCTAAGGATCACCTGAGCCTGTGAACCATGATCACACCACTGTACTACAGCCTGGCACCAAAGCGAGTTCCTGTCTCTTACAAAAAAAAGTATAAAATGTTAAACATGTAATATAAAAACAGTGAGCTGGGGCACGCCTCAGATGCTGATGTTTTGCTGTGGCTCACAGACTGTCACAGAAACATCTCCATGGCATAGCTCTTCTCTCCCATTGCAGCTTGAACCTTGTCTGGGTCTGTGCTCCAGCTCTAAGCCAGGTCACTACTGTGTTTCCAGCACAAGCCCCATGCTAGGCATAGAGCAGATATTCTGTCAATAAGCACTTATTTCTGAATGAATCACTATCGTTAGAGAAAGGAACAAATGAACGCAGGGTAAAGCCAGCCACAGAGAACATAGACCTCTTGACTCCATGTCCATGAAGACCAGGAACACCCACAGTGAATGGAAGTTTCCAGAAAATAGAATCGTGTTTGCCTCTTGGTGGAGAGGTATATACAGAGAAGGTACATGAGAGAGCGTCACAGGTGCTGAACATGCTCTATCTCCCTGCGTGGACGGTGGTGACATTCACAACCACAAAACGTCATTCTGAACACTCAAGATTAGCACACCCTGTGCATTCGATTACCCCCAATTTAGTATACCTCAAAATTACCAGTGAGACCACTTCTTTGGATAACCAGTGTGTAACTGAGCTCTAGACCGAAGCCTGTTTTTTGTTTTTTAAATAGAGGTGGGGTTTCGCCACATTGGCGAAGCTGGTCTTGAACTCCAGGGCTCAAGTGACACCCCCACCTCAGCCTTCCCAAGTGCTGGGATTACAGGCATGGGCCACAGACCCTGGCCTGTTTTTATTCCACAGAACATCCAACAACTGAGCCCAAGTACACGGTCACTTCTGTGATATCACCACACCCACTGGGCCAGACCTGTTCCTGAGCCCAGCTCATTGGTTGGAGGGTTTCCTATCAACTGGGTCTTCTCTTTTTGGAAAGGCAGATCCCTGATGAGCTGTTCTTAAAAAGAGGAGCCGGCTACATTAGCCCTCTGGGCCAAGGAGCTGGGCAAAGTAGGTTCCTGACCCCAGCTACCAAGTCCCACCGTCCTTGTGCCAGAGGGGTTAAAAAAAACCAGGCCCCTAAAATACCTCCATATTTGCTTCTATAATGTTAAGCAATTCATCCCTCAAAGAACGGATTTATTTTTTTCTGTATAAATTCACTTCTAACAAGTGTTCATAAATCAGATTTTATTCCTGCGGGATTTACAATGTATGAATGGCGTGTCATTTTCCCGAGTTAATGCTATTACAGAATCCTGTGTCTGGTGCGTAGAAAATCTCCCTGCCTTTCACTCTCCTCCTCCATCTGGAAAACAGACTTGAAAAGGCAGATCTGACCTGCAGCTTCTGATGCTCAGCCTCACCCTGGAGTATTAATTTAACATCGTAATTGAAGCCTAGAAAAAATAATACTTATCTACCAGAATGTCTCCCGTCCTGCCCAGGAGACATGCAAAACTTAAACCTTTGCTGTTACGGCCTCCCTTGACACCCCTTCCTGTGTTCACTTCTTATCCTCCCATCCATGTCTGAATTCCTTTCTGATCTTGGTTTCCACCTGCTCACCTCCCATCATCCCAAATCCCCTCTCCCAGAGAAGCGCATCTTTCATTTTCTGCTCTGTCTTCTTCCGTTAAACACAAATAGAGCATTAAGGTTTAAGGCACGTCAAAGGGGGGCCAGGTCCCAGCTGAGAGGAGCCTCTTGGGGTTTAGAAATGTCAACACACTTAGCAAATACCTGCTAAGCCCCTGGTATGTGTGTAGGTGCTGACTTGGGGGCTGGTAGGGGCACTGGGGAGTGTGATAGACTTAAGTCTGCACCTCGAAGAGCAAATATGTGCATAGGCATGAGAAACAGAGGTCACTCTGTATGGTCAAGGAGGACCCCTCTGGTCTCAGGGCGTTTGAGCTGTGCTCTGCAGGAAGGGATGAGAAGCCCAGAAATACTGGGAGAAGAGGGATCTCCAAGAGGGAGATCCCCAAGGGAGAAACCTGTGTTAGGGAGTGGCTGAGGGCTGGAAGGTGACATAGGGGTAGGTGGGGTGGACAGACCAGGCCAAGCTTGGGAGCAACTTGGAGGCCCTGGATTTTCCTGCACAATAAGATGAAAAAGCTAGTGGAATTTTTTTTAGGTTGTTTGATTTTTCAAAACTTTATTTTTATTTGTTTGATCTGTTAATGTATTTTAGAATATGTTTTGCTATGTATTTGTAAACTTCGTAAATTTACTTTTTTTTGGGGGGTGGGACAGAGTCTCACTCTGTTGCCTAGGCTGGAATATAGTGGTGCAGCCTTGGCTCCCTGCAACCTCCACCTCCCAGGTTCAAATGATTCTTACATCTCAGCCTTCCAAGTAGCTGGTACTACATGTGCATGCTGCCACGCCTGGCTAATTTTTTGTATTTTTCATAGAGATGGTGTTTCACTGTGTTCCCCAGGCTGGTCTCGAACTCCTGAGCTCAGCAATCCGCCTGTCTTGGCCTCCCAAAGTGTTAGGATTACAGGCGTGAGCCCCCACACCCGGCCAATTTACTCTTTTTTAAAGGGTACAGTTCAGTGGGGAATGCACAGATATGTGCAACGATGACCACAGTCAATTCTAGAACATTTGTATCATTGCAGAAGGAAGCCCTGTACCCTTTCTTTAGCTGTCACACTCCCATACATTTGTTTTTATTTCCTGTTTTGTTAAATGGTTGTGAATTTTTATTTTGAAATTTATTAAATATTTAACTTCCCTGACTTTTAAAAAGCTTATGCATTCTTGGCCAGGTGCAGTGAATCACACCTGCAATTCCAGAACTTTGGGAGGCCAAGGCAGAAGGATTGCTTGAGGCCAGGAGTTCAAAACCAGCCTGGGCAACATAGTGAGACCCCATCTCTACCAAAACAAAAATTTTAAAAAAACATCAAAAAAAGTTCATGTGTTCTGAATATAATTTCATAAAACACTGGCAAGAATGCTGTTATTTTAGGATCAGGCAGAACAAACTGAAATGCTAATATTGTCACTTTGCTCCAACACTGTGATCAATACCTAGCTTTTTTCCCCAGCTCAGCCCTAAGGGCCTTGGGGGCTAAAGCAAGTGTCCCCAGCTCTGGGCTCTGCATGCAGCAGGACTCAGGAGCTGCCTCTCTGGCCAGCTCTGGCTTGGCACAGCTGCAGTGGCCACACCAGTAACATGCCTCTCCTGCTTTCCTGCTGGGCTTTAGGAAAGGGCATCTCCACCATGGAGGAGTCTGTGACCCTGGACAATGGAGGATTTGCTGCCCTGGAGCTCAGCAGTCGCCACCTCAATGTCAAGAGCACCTTCTCCAAGAAGAACGGGACCAGGTAGGTAGGCAGTGCTGTGACCCAGTATGCCACACCCACCCGGGGACCTGAGCTGCACGGCCAGGTTGCCACTGTTGACAGCCCACATCCACTGGCGCCTCCTGCGTCCTCCATCCTGCCCCCACCCAGCCGTGGTTCCAGGAAGCAAAACCTTACCCACTGGCAGGTGAGATCCCAAGCCCACCAGGGGCAGCCCTGAGTTTAGGAGAGACAGGGTTGGCAGAGTGGCTAGAAGTGTTTTCAGGGCATCTCTGGAGATTTAGAAAGAAGGTGGGGCCTCAGGTGTGTGGGAAGGACCTGGGACACCCAGTGGCTGCCAGGCTGGCATTCTGTGTCAACCGTGGGCACCTCGGATCAGAGTGTTCCTAGTTCACAGAGGTGTTACCTGAGCTGCCGCAGGCCCAAGCGGATGTCCTCACATGCAAACCTGGTGCTTGTTGCTAATTTCGTTGTTCTGTGTATTCCAAAGTTTTCTGTGCTGATTCACATTGCCATTCCACACGTGGATGTGAGTGTGGGCGAGAAGGATTTTCGCTACCAAAGCCTCTTAGCTTTTAATCCTTTTCCTAAATCCAGCAGGAAACAGGGTTTCTCCCAAAGAAGAGAGGGGATGACCTGAGTTTGCCTTTTTGATGTGCAGAGCGTCATCCTCTGGTCATCCCTTGACCAAGGAGAAGGGCCAGGACTGGGGAAGGGTCTTTAGCGTCTAGAAGGAAAACCTCAAACACCTGAGGACGCTTCACCTGAAGAACAGACAGTCGGGGCCTTCCCGGGGTGCCCCAGCATCGGGGTGGAGAGAGATCTTCTCCTTTGGCCAGACTCACCTTGGATTACCCTTAGTGGCAAGAGCATGGAAATCACACATCCTCCAGACCCAGAGAGACCCCAGGGTTTCCTTTCCCTTCAATGCCTATAAAGCTGCAGGGGCCAGCAGTGCCTGGAGAGTCCGTATGCCACCCCTGCCCTCCAGTGCTGTTTGGGAATCTCAGATCACTCGAATGCTGCCGAGGCATGGAGGGGGCCATTTCTCCCAGCTGCTGACCCTTTGCCAGCCTCACAGGTGCCAGTCCATAGCACCACAGGCCGCCACCCCACAAGGCCTTCCCCAGGGCTGGAGGCAGATGCTGGTGGTAACATCTGATCACATCTTTCATTTCATTTTTCTACTGGGAGGCAAGTTTTTCTTGCCGTGTAACAGAAACATGAAAATGCAACCACAGGTAGTTTCAAGGCCAGGAGTATCTTGTCACAGAGAATTTAAAAATATTATATGCCCTGCTCCCTTGCTGCAAATCTGTCTTCTGAGTTCTGAGAAGAGACACTCATAGCCTTCAAGCACATTGCCCAAGAATAGACATTTGTTCAGTTTTGTGAAGTCCATCTGCTTCCTAGGGAAAAGAAACATCATTTGATGGTGAGGTTGGAGGTTCTCAGCCCACAAAGACATTTCCCAGAGGGGGCCCCAGTACAGGAAGGAACCTTGTATCTTCAGAACTAGTCTGCATGTGGCTCCAGGGGAAGGGATTGTAGCATGGTCTTACCCGGTGTTATGGGGAGGCAAATCCAAGAAACCCCTTTCTAAAGAAGAGCTCTTGGGTAGGTGGGGACCAAGAGCCTTCCTCGAGGCAGAAAGTGTTTGAGATGCTTCAGGGCAGCCATGGAGGGGCATGAGCAGGTCAGGGTGGAAGATGGAAGATGTTCTGCCTACATGGCTCCATCTCTGAGGCTCCCCAGCCCAGCTCATGACCTAAGGAGTTGTGTGAGTCTGCAGGAGCCACTGGGCCTGGGAGGGTTTTGCCCCTGCCCTCAGGCATTCCACCCTTGATCATTTATAAGTGGCCATCTCTAAAGCTCTAGGGTTACACCTCTCAATATGCATTCATGTATGCAGAACCCACTGCTGCCTTATGAATTCCAGCTGATGGGAGCACAGAGCGCATGCCGAGACCTCTGGGTGGTCTAACACCAGCTGGGAGTTTGCTTCCCTGCTCTGCAAGTCACACACTGCCCAGGGAGAGGGGCTTTTTGGTTTGATTTGTCCATCCAGGTCAGTGGCTCCAGTTAAGCCCTGAACTTCCCAGTAGGGCCTGTTTCAAACTCTCCTGAACCTGCTGAGACCAAAGGACAAAATAAAATTAATGTGGAAAAGGAAATAGACCCTTCCCCTCGGTTTTTAAATAAGCCATCACCTTTTCAGTCCTAGCAATAGGACCCTGTATTAGTCTGTCCTCACGCTGCTAATAAAGACATACCCAAGACTGGGTGACTTATAAAGGAAAGAGGTTTAATGAACTCACAGTTCCACATGGCTGGGGAGACCTCACAATCATGGCAAAAGGCAAGGAGCAAAGTCACACCTTACATGGCAGCAGGCAAAGAGAGCTTGTGTAGGAGAACTCCCCTTTATAAAACCATCAGATCATGTGAGACTTATTCACTATCATGAGAACGGCATGGGAAAGACCCTCCCCATGATTCAAGTACCTCCCACTGGGACCCTCCCATGACACATGGGAATGATGGGAGCCACAATTCAAGATGAGATTTGGGTGGGGACACAGCCAAACCATATCAGACCCCAAAGGTGACTAAAGGAAAGGATTATCTGCTGGGGTTGGGGGAGGATCTGGGCAGGGACACCTGAGATTGGTCCTGTAGTGTCATCCCCAAAATATCTTTGAAATACAGGCACGGTTGATTTCTGTCTCTCCAATATACGTGTTGTGCTTCCAATTTCTTTGTGGGGAAGAAACCATTTTAGCTCCTTAGATAAAAAGAGGTGCCCAAGTGTTTAGATGAGACATTGCATCTTCCACAAAATAAATTACCTTTGAAATAGAGAAAGAAAGGCCCTTGAGCCATCACTGGGCCTTTCCAGGAGAAACTGAGGCACGCCCCAAGGGAGACAACACCAACTACACAAAACCAGAGGTCTCCATCCCCTCCAGCCTTCCCAGCAGAGTCTCCAGCCAAGGCCTGGTTTCCTGGCCAGTAGCCTCTCCTTGCTTGATCGCCCAGGGTTACTTCTCTCATTGAGGGATGAGAAGATGCTCCCTCTGCAGCCGCCACTCAGCTCTGCACTCACTCCTTGCAGCATGAAGGGGGGCTTGCAGGGGCTCCTGAAGGTCCTGGACATGGTCCCTTTGAGTGCACAGATGCCTGTCTGACTGCTCACAGGCTGCTCTCACTATCAAGTCCTTCAGAGGACTAGGAAGCAGTCAGTCCTGCCTGGTTTGAAAATTCAGTAATGTAGTACTCAGAGTTTTCCCCCAAGTTCTAAGTTCTCCATCTGAAAAAATAGAAGCTGTGCTTTTACGCAGCTCAAATAGTCTCCCCTCTCAAGAGAATATTCATTTTCTGTTGCTGTATGACAAATGACCATAAGTTTAGTAGCTTAAACCAACACCCATGTAGTACCACACAGTCTCCCTGGGGCAGGAGTCTGGGGACAGTTCAGCTAGTTCCTCTGCCCAGGGCCTCACATGGCTATAATCCAGGTGTAGTTGGGCTGTGTTCTCATCTGGAGGCTCAACCGGGCAAGAATCCTCTCCCAAGCTCATTCAGCCTGCTGGCAGCCTGCACTTCCTTGTGGCCACATGACCGAGGGCACCAGCTTCATCCTGGCCCTCATCTAGAGGTCTTCCTCATGTCCTGGAGGCTGCTTATGGTCTCCTGCCATGGGGTCCTCTCCAGGGGCTATTCACAACATGCTGTTTTCTTCTGTAAGACCAGCAAGAGCATCTCTGTCTCTAGCCAGCCAAGATGGGGTCTCCTATAATGTCATGTGATCATGGGAGTGATGGGAGTAGTAGTTCTTCACCCATTCCATTTAATGTAACCAAGTCTTCTGTCTGCCATGTTCCACTGATTAGAGGCACATCACAGGCCCTTCCCACACTCAAAGAATGGGATGATGGGGTGGAGGCAGTGCTGGAGCAATCTTAGAATTCCATCAGCCAGAGAAGATGAACACTCCCCAACCAGACAAGGAGATCGGGCCTGGTGCAAACTTCCCTGATTCCCTCTTATCTGTAGGAGACAATTCCCACCCCTTAGTCTGGCAGATCAGACCCTTCCTCACAACTTCATCCTCATCTCTCTCCACCACACTCCCCTGCCTGCAGCTGGTGGGCACCCAAGCTCCCCAGCCTCCTATCAGTCCATCCTCAGGGTGCTCTTTGTATGTGAATGTCCCACTGCCCCTCCTGGCACAGACCAGCTCTTCCCTCATGCCTGCAGGCCTAGCACAGTCCCCACACTGACAGGCTGGTACATGCTGGTACAGGCTGGTACACACTGGTACACACTGGTGCAGGGGGGCTGTTGACTCACCAGATAGCCAGTGCTCAGCAATTTTGGCATCAGTTGCCAAAGTGCTATCAAAGGCTGTGGGTTTCCTCTTAGTCCAGCACAGTAAAGCCCAGGTGCCAGGTTAGGAGGCCTCTGGGGGAGGGTGTCTTTTGCCCAGAGGGTAATTGTGGCATGGGTCCTCACCCTAGGTCCCCACCCCGGCCGAGCCCCGGCGGCCTGCACTACTCAGACGAGGATATCTGCAACAAGTACAACGGCACCGCGCTGACTGAGAGCGTGAGCCTCAAGGAGAAGTCGGCGGATGTGTCAGAATCCGAGGTCAGTGTCAGCGCCTACTTCCAGGCAGTGACTGTGCCCCCCTACTTCTGCAGGGAGACTTCTACCTTCTCAGGCTGTCTTGTCCTATTTGAGTCTCACAGCATCCTCACAGGCAGAGTCAAGGACAAAAGACTCTACTTTGCAGATGAGAAAAACATAAGGGAGCCCAAGGTCAACCCCACAGCCTGCTCTGGACCCCGCAGGGCTCACACAGCCTCGAGCAGTCTACACTCCAAGGCCAGTTCGTGGAGGAGCAGGTTCAGATCCCCAAATCCCAGGGTCTGCTTTGGGCCCCGCAGGGCTCACAAAGCCTCGAGCAGTCTACACTGCAAGGCTGGTTTATGGAGGAGCAGGTTCCAATCCCCAAGTCTCAGGGTCTGCTGTGGGCCCCACAGGGCACACATAGCCTCAAGCAGTCTACACTCCAAGGCCAGTTCGTGGAGCAGCAGGTTCTGATTCCCAAGTCCCAGAGCCTGCAGTGAGATAGACAAGGCTGGTGCTCTCCATGAGGGGTGCATTGCAGAGCAGAGTGTGGGTGTTGCCTGGGCACCAGCAGACAGTGTTTGTTGATTGCTGTCACGTGCTGCATCTCATGTAGTCCTGGGGATAACTGGGCCCAAACCACCTCTTACGGATGGAGCCAGTGGGGCTCAGGGAAGATCAGTAACTTGCCCAGTGTGAACTCCTGCCCTGGAAGCCCATTCTCTCTCCATTTCACTTTCAGAGATAAACATAGGTTGGTAGTCCCTAGACCCTAGTTAGAGTGGCAGCAGGTCTGATCCTGCAGGACAGATAGAAAATATGAAGCCTTCACCAGAAAGGAGCTTCCTGCTCACCCCTGAACCTTCACTTCCCTGCATACCCTGCCAGCCTCCCACCTGCCCAGGGAGCTTCTGTTCTAGCTCCCTCCCCTGTGCTGAAGAAGAGGGATTTGCTCACAGCAGTTTCAGGTCAGGTATTGGGCTCAGGGTGAGCTCAGACTCATGATGTGTTCCTCTCCTCACCGAGCAGCTGGACCAGGGAGATGGCTTCCCTAAGAGTGTTAGCCTTCATGTGCTCCCTCCAGGACCCCAGGGCCTACCTACCTCAGGCCTCCCCTGCAGCAGTTCAGAAGTGGAGTGTGTTGCCTGTGCGAAGTCTTAGTGTCACCCAAAGGGTCTTTAACCAGCAAGGCAGCCATGAGGGGGCTCCAAGGAGGTGCTCAGCACCCCTTCCCTACAGGTGCACCATCTGCATTCCTGACATTTACCAGCAAAGATGGCTGAAGCAGAAATTGGAGAGGTTGCCCCATCAGTCCTGGACTTTTTTCTTTCAGATATGCCAGGTCTGGAGAGGGATGAAAACCAGCCACCATTTGCTGGACACGTAGGCCTGCCCCACTTCCTGGCACTCATGTTCTAAATCAATATTTAATCTAAAACAAGTCTCACCTTCATTTTAACCTGAATCCAGGCCTTATTGAGCCCCAGGGCTCTATCAAATGACTTCTTTTCAATTGTGGGTTGTTGATGAACTCCCCTCGGGAAGGGCCAGCAGGTGGGTGTGACGAGGCCGGCTCTGCTTTGCTTCATGTGTTTCTGTTTACAGAGGACGCTGGGTTCACTGTCGGTGCCATAGCCTTGGGCTCGGCAAAAACAGCAGGTGGCAAAGCAGATGCTTGGAAAGGGACATTTGTCTAAAACTGAGGGACTGTCAAGTGAAATCCTGCAAAACTGACCTGCCTTTTTGTGATAAGGAAAAAGCTTATCACAAGCTAGCTGCATGTACAAAAGCAGCACGTGGGGCAGAGCAGGGCAGCCTTTGAGCAGGACAGTGTCCATCACCAAAGAGCCACATCCCACAGCGCCAGTCCTGGGCCTGTCCCTGTTGCCAGGCTGCTGCTCTTTAGAGAATCCGGGCACCGTGGGGGTGTCAAAGCTGTGGGTGGTTCCTGTGTGCTGCACACTCGCTGCTGTGTTTTCTGCACTCAGTGTGGGCCAGGCCCAGGATGAATGTGCACTTCTGTGCGGACCACCCCAGCCCCATGAGGTGGGGCCAGCCTCCTTATTGGTCAGAGGCTGAGGTCATCCAGCAGGCAGCTATTGAAGCTGACTCCCAGCGAGGCCCCTGTGTCTCCAGAGCTCAGTTTACCCCTCCCTTCCCCAGTGTTCTCCTCCAGCCCCACACCAGAGGAGGGGGAGGGAGGCATTCCTGGAAGTTTGTCCTAGAGCAGGCAGGCAGGATTGGATCCATGAACTCTGAATTACTTGTTCCTAAAAGCATTTTCTACATGAGCTAATGGAATGCATTAGTCTGTTTCTCCTCTCACATGTGTGGTGTGTTTGGAGATTTAACTTTGGCAAATTTTTATGGAAAGTTATTGAGCACACCCTTGAACTGAGCTAAGCATACGTATTCATGCATGCAAATACACACATATATGCATACATGTGTACACATACACACATACATATACCTACACGCCTGAATACATGCACACACATGCATACATACATGCATACATAAACACACAGCACACACACATACACATGCACACATATGTACACATACAAACATGCAAACATATACATATACCTATACACCTGAATACACACACATACATACACACCTAAATACATGCAACACACGCACATGCCTAAATACACACACATACATATGCATGCACACATATGCATACACACATGTATACCTAAATACACATATACAACACACGCACATACCTAAATACACAGATACATGCATATATAAATATACATACTACACACATACATATAACTACATACCTGAATACATTCAGGCACATACATATACCTGTACACCTGAATACATGCACACACATGCTTACACACACACACCTAAATACATCCACATAACTAAATATGTACATGCAAAAATATGCATGTACAGACATACATCATATACACATATACATATACCTACATATCTAAATACATGCACACATACACACATGCACATTCCTAAATATGCATGTGCAAAACTATACACATATTGTGCATACACATGCACACATATGCACACACACCTAAAACATGCATACATGCACACATATGCACACAGGTACACACCACACACATATACCATGTGCAAGTACACATGCACAGATACACATGCATACATACCTAAATACAAGTACAAACACACATGCACACAACCATACCTGCATACACATATCTACATACATGCACAACACATATGTACCTAGATACACACATGCACACACGTACATACACACCTGCACACACACATATTCATTTAAATACAAACACACAGAGGTGGCAAGAGGGAGGGAGGTGAGTGTGAGGAGGGGGGAAAAAGGGAAGAGGGCAGGACATGGAACCCACACTAAATGGAATTCTGCATCAAGGGTGTTATCATCCCTATTTAACAGGCAGAAAGCCGAGGCTAAGAGTTTTTTAATGTCTTCCCCCAGACATGCACTGATGAGCTGGACTGAAGAGGCAGACCTCAGCGTCTAAGTGGAAATCCCATTTTCCCACCAGTCCTGCTCTCAGAACTAAGTCTCAGGCAGCATGGCTGGGGTGGCGAGGGTCCCAGAAGCCAGGCCACACTGTTCCCATGTGGCAAGCCCTGTGCTGAAGGAAAGCATTCTCGCAAATGCACCTCATGGTTCCTAGTGCCTTTTGGTCACAGGCTGCTTCTGGAAGCTGATGAAAGGTGCATACACTCTCTCCACCTTCAGGCAGAATTTCACAAAGGATCTGGGGGCCCAAGGCCCCCCAGAAGTCTCTATAGACCCCTCCACCTAGTGTCCCGTGGAGTCTCAGCTAAGAATCCCCACACGTGGACCATCTTGTGCTCCCTGGGTTCTTGGGTGGATAAAGGGTGGCCTCCCTTGTCTGTAGAGCTCTTTGCTGTGTAATCTTGCTGAATCCTGCTTTTGAAGCTTATGAATTTGAGGGATTTGAAGGCACTCAATATTCATGGGATCCCAACAGAGGGAACTGGGGACTTAGATCATTTTGGAAGTGCCAGCTCACATGGTAAAGTTCACTTTGAACCACTATTTGAAACAGCTGGATTGAGACATAATTCACATATCATACAATTCACCCATTTGAACTACACAATTCAGTGGTTTTTAGTCCATTCACAAGGTGTGCAGCCATTACCACAGTCAAATGCAGAACATTTCCATCAGCCCCCAAAACACCCTGTACCGATTAGCAGTCACTCCACCCACATAAACCTGCAGCCAACCCCAGCTCTTGGCAACCACTAAGCTACTTTATACCTCTCTAGGTGTGCCCCTGTGGACATCTCATCTAAATAAATCATACAGTATGTTGTCTTCTGTGACTAGCTTCTTTCACTTGCATACTGATTTCAATGCATCTGAACCACTTTTACTAAATCATCAGTTTGTATGTTCCATCCGTTCTCTTTCACATTGTTTTTAAATTGGACTTCAGTTCAAAACTTCTCCCTTCACAGAAAACAAACTTGTTGTATTTTCCTTGACATATTTACCCATATGCTTTCTTGGAACAGAAGTGTATTTTTTTGGTGGGTGGGGGATGAAGTCTCACTGTGTAGCCCAGGCTGGAGTGCAGTGGCGCTATCTCAGCTCACTGTAACCTCCGCCTCCTGGGTTCAAGCAATTCTCATGCCTCAGTCTCCTGATTAGCTGGAATTACAGGTGTCTGCCACTGTGCATGGCTGATTTTTTGTATTTTTAGTAGAGACAAGGTTCCCCCATATTGGCCAGGCTGGTCTCAAACTCTTGACCTCAAGTGATCTGCCTGCCTCAGCTTCCCAAAGTGCTGGGATTACAGGCATGAGCTACCACACCCAGTCAGGAAGTGTATCTTTCTTTATAGGGTCTAACAGAACACAGGCCAAGTGTCACAGGGCGATTTGAAAAGGCTGCCATCTGACAATTAGTCCCTCCTAGTACCAAACCCCACTCAAGTCGGGATCTTCTTTTTAAAAAATGCTTTATTGAGTTATAATTCACATAC